ATCATCTTTTATTTGCAAATTACCTCAGCAAATATGGGAGCAATTTACAACCAATCATACTACATATTAAAATTACACAATGCCCTGTCATCTGTCCCTCTCATCAAGAAGACCACTTCCTTCGTACTAACTTCTGTTGTAGTTTAAATGCGTACAGAATCTTCCCAACACATTAAGCAATAACAGCCCTACTAAGCTTTTGGCTCTGAGAGGATAAATATCAGTGAAGAGATCTCAATGTGCGGAAGGTTATTTCCTGTTAATTGATGTCCCCAGTGTTTTAATTGCTTTGACTAAACAGTAATTATCAAAGCTTCAACCCTGTTTTTGCCAAAATTCTTTCATTATTCATGTACTTGTTACAGTAACACCCTGTAGGGCCTTACAAAGAACTTGTTAGAAAACTCTTGATCAAGAGCATACCCCTAATAATAATGAAAGACGGTTTGTCTGCAAGCAGTAAAAACAGGGCCTGAGAAGAGGGTTTTATCCATTCCTGTCTGAAAATTGGAAGCCATTGGGGTATTAATCTGGACTCCAGGGTTGCAGACAGAAACAGAAGCTCACTCGTTTAAGCACACAAGAGTAAACAGTAGGTGGAGTCTTATCCCTGTGGGTGGAATCTTACCCCTGGACTCTTATTTTGGTTCCATCATCTCCTTTATCTGTGCAATTTTTGGCATCCCTTTCCTTGGCCTATATAAAATGGGGACACTAATAAAAACTATCCCATGGAACTGTTGGGAGCACTAAATGATTTAATACATGTAAAGCAGTTTCAAAATTGCTTGACACATAATACATGTTCAATAATTGCTTTTAAAGAGCAGAAGTGAACCTAATTTTAAGAGAGAAATGAAAGCAGAGGATGAATGCCATTAAGATTCACTTATTCTGCTTGAGTTCTTTGTAGAACTCAAGTTATTATCCTTTTAGTGAATGCATAGCATGCAAATATTTTCTCCCATTCTGTAGATTGTCTATTTTCTCTATTGATTGTTTTCTGGGCTGTGCAGAAGCTGTTTAATCTAATCAGATCCCATTTATTTATTTTTGTTGTTGCCGTGATTGATTGCCTTTAGGGTCTTCTTCATAAATTATTTGCCTAGGCCAATATCTACAAGAGTTTTTCCAACCTCTTTTTCTAGAATTCTTATAGTTTCATGCCTTAGGTTTTTTGTTTTTGTTTTTTTTATTTGGCCATATTTTTATTTACTACATATACTATAAACATATACAATACATGCTACAAAAAAAACATTTTTTTAAAAATTTAACTGTCAAGAAAATGTATAGTGTTATAATACAATGGCACATGTTCATATTTTATTTCAAATTGGTTTGCTTATCACTCATTTCAAACCATTAATAGTGAAATGTTACTTGTGGATAATTAAAAATTATCTATTTGCATTATTAACAATAAACAATTCCAACAAATTAATAAAAATTAACCATGTCAAATATTAGTATCCAAAAAAATGGGCTTTTGCAGAAATGATTATATAAAATATAGCAGCCAATTTCATTTTACTTTGCTTTGTGACAATGTAAGATTCATGGGTGGAAGGGAAATCTGTTCCATTTGATAGTATAGTTTCAGAATGAAATAAACCACTGAATAAATCAGGGTAAGCAGTGTGTACACTCCTCTCCTGGCTGTCAGTTTTCCACGGTTGATTTGCATTGCCTGAGAGAAAGGGCAAGACACCTATTGCTTCTGATACACACAGGCATGGCACCATCAACCTAAAATTGCCAATTCAGAAGTTAACACACAAGCCCTCCGGTTTCGTGCCCGAAAAATGGAATAAGCTAAGGACGGAGTAGTTCAGTCTAAAAAAGATCACAGGTAACAGAATGCTTATATAAACTAGACTGCTTTTGACATCTTGTAAGAAATTGTATAGATGGCAGTTGGAAAAAAAAAGATTGTTCCCATCTGGCCAAAACTGTTGGCTCACTCAGCTTGAAGCCCTCATCGGGATCTGTTGAC